ATCCTCGATTCATAAGTCCATCTCAGCCTCGAAGAATCGACTGAGTGGATTAGGGAATAGCACAAAAACATGCATGTACGATGTTTTCAAATAATTTATGTGATATACTATTTATTCAAGGAGATGGTATCAAGAGAACATGTAAAGATCAAGGAGACAATAACACTTATCTTCCTTTTCAAGCAGGTCATTGCCTTTGTGAACTTTTAGGGTTGCTGTGGAATTGCATCAGAGGGGAGGTAGAAGTAAGAAAAGTCAAGCTTGAGTAGATATTTTCATGTTTTGATATTAAGGATTCTTATGCTCAAGCAGTCCTTAGGATGAGGAAAATTTTCGGACGTTTAAAGGAAATGTAAGGAGCAATCATCAAAAGCATCAGGAGGCTTTTAATGATCTGAGGGTTAGAGATGACCGTATTTTTCAAGTGGTTCAACAAGCAGGAGAGAATTGTAATGATCTTGCTTTGAAAGATGAATTTGTGCACAAATTTGAGGATCATGTTGAATTAAATGATGATGATGAGAAAGTAACAATTGGAGACATCTGTTCTACTGCTAGAATTCGACTGGCAAATCTGTTGCCAAGGACTACTCATGTGTTGGTGAAATGTTTCAATTTCTATTTTCAGTTACATGCTGCTAACATTGCTGCAACTGCAAAGTGGGATGATGCTTTGCATTTTCTCAGTTACATTCCGGCAAACATTTCATCATCGAAGAGTTAAATTGTCCATTGACCATGCCACCCAAGGGAGTTTTAGTCCTTATGAAAACTCTCACCAATGTATTAGTTATTTAGAGTGATAAATATTCTCTCTTTCTATATAATGTTATTTACAAGACTTTTTTCATTGTTTTTAGTTATGACATGATAAAACCTGTTGGATACAACTTTTCTTGTTACTTATGACATTGTAAACACGTAATGGATACGATTTAAAATATCAATACTAAATTATGAAAGTAAACAACTATCAAATAATTATCACAATCATTAGTTTGGTTCATAATTTTGATCAATGATCATTTGTAACTCATTTGTCTACTTGAGTGAACTTTAATTGACATATGATCGTGTGTGTGTGTGTGTGTATATGTGTGTGTGTGTATTGGATTTTTGTTTTGAATACATTGTGCATCGCATGATAGCTAATAGAATTATTATAATTAAAGGGTTAGGAAACGAGAGTGTATCATCTTTAATTTTTTGTAATTGTTGTTCTTTTTTTTTTCTTTATACACCATACCTATTTTTGGAGAAAATAGTAATCGATATATCGTGGAAAAATAAAACGGATATAAAGCCACAATGTTTACAACTTACTAAGAGTAAGAATTATCATTCAAATATTATAGGATAAATAATTGAATTTCGTTTTGTCATCACTTAAATTGCCAAAGGAAAAGAATGAAAGACACTTATATTTTGAGTAAGAATTCTAACGTCAAACTAAAAACTATTTTCATATATCACCGAATTCGTTAATTTTAATAATAGAATAAGGGGATTAAAGAAAAAACTATTTTTGTGAAACTGAAATTTCAGCTGAATGAAGAACTCGTCATGCCTCGCTCCGGTACCATCATAAAGACTATATGGTTCATCTACGAAAATAAAATCAAAGTGGCTCTTTGGAGGATGGTCAAGAAATCGAAAATGATGTTATAGTTGAAGAGAATGCAGACAAATTTCAGGAACTGTCCAACACTTCTATCTGCTATTTTGCCCATAATTTTGCTGCTAATAATGACTTTTTTGAACTAATGAAGGTCAATGACATTGTGATTGTTGAAAAACTTTTACCGTTCATTGTGAAAAATGAAAGAGATTTCAAGGGCTATTCTCGTCGGTGTACATCTTGATGGAATTTTTGGTGTTTACTATTTTGGCACCCATGGAAATGTTGTCGAACAGTTGTGCTTTTACGCGATTGGTATTGAGCAACCTCATGTTAAACTCATTCTTGGCGTTTTTTTAAGGAACTAGGGCAGTACCTGGCAGGCATTCCCTCGATTTTATTAATTTTCGAAAAAAGATACACAGGTAGTGCTTAAGACTTACCCAAGAAGGAGAGTCTGTTATGCAAATATTTTTCTAAAAATTCCATGACTGCTCTATTTCTAGAACTAAGAGAATACCTTACAAAGATTTTGCTAACATCCCATGGCATCTCTGAATTGGAAAAAGTTAAAACTAAGAACTGCCTTACAAAGATTTCTAGAATCCTAGACAATTCATTTTGTAATTAACCTAGAAGTCTGCTTTACTTAGATCATACAAGTATCTTATAGCAGATCTTAGCCTACTTGGCAGAATTAGAATAAAATAATTACTATCTCATTTAATTCTCAAATATGGTATTGGTCCTTGATCCAAAAGTATCAGACCTCTCACCTTTCTGGGTAATGCCAACTAGGAAGAGTATTCCTTAGTGTCTCTATCAGATTCAAGCTTTGCAAGTGCATCGGCCACCATGTTGGTTTCTCGAACTACATGAGTAAAATTATATTCTCTGTTCGGTAGAAGTTTCCATATTTCCATTAAATTGTCATGATATCTCCTTAGAAAGTCGTTTCCTCTGTGAAGAAGGTCTACAGTTACTTTATTGTTGGTTTGAAGTGTAACTCTTCTAAGTCCCCTTATTTCACAGTATTGGAGACCTTCTAAGAATCCAGTGATTTCTGCCCGAAAATTGTTTTGGATGCTGAGGTATCCGATTGCCGCATGAATTAGGTTGCCTTGATTTCCACAAATTATATAGCTCCATCCCGCTTCTCCCAGTGATCCCAGTGTTGAACCATCAGTATTTAGAATGAAACTTCCGACTAAGGGTGGCTCCCAAGGGTGAACAGTTATCAGCTTCTGCTTTGGCGGTGAAACTCGGACTTGAAAAAGAGTCTCCAAATTTTATTGCTCCTCTCTCTAAATTTCCCTCAAATGGTGTACTCTCATCGTACCTGATACGTTAGATGTAATTGAAAAATAATTGAATTAAAATGGGGGGAAGTACCTTGATATATCGCATTGTTTCTTGCCTTCCATGTTTCCCATAAAATGAAGGCAGGAAGCACCATGATGATCATTTTTTTCCTGGTAGAATAGATTCCATATGTAAACCAAAGGTTCAAATATGCCCTTAGATTGTCCATTGCAGGTATGAATAGGTCCATAGCCATCTCGAAATGTTTCCAGATGTGCGCACAAGGGCATATTCATAGAAAAGATGATTTTGAGTTTCTTCATGATTGTTTCACATTGGACATTTTGATGGACGTACAGAAATTCCAAATCTGCAGATTGCTTCCGAGAATGGTAGAAGGTGGTTGTAAACTCTACAGCAAAAAATAAATATACAGAGTGGGAGTGTTTTGTGTCAGAAGAACTTGATTAGGGTCAGACTCTTGAGTTGCACGGAGGACTGAGTAGGACGTTGCGATGGAGAACTTCCCTGAAGTCGATGGCTTCCAGATGAACTGATCTTGTACGTGTGGGATTAGCATTGCCGCTGAGAAATACCATGTTCAATTCTTATTATACTATCAACCAAGGATGTAACATTGTTCTTCTTGGAGTATAAATTTTTGCAACACTAGACCCCTCCATATATAGGCAGCTTTACATGAGGGGTCTACATGAATGATATTGGAGTCCACAACCATTATAATAAATTGAGGATTAGTGATGCACTAGTGAGAGAGCTAGTGTTTTGGCCTTGAAGGCAACATTGTCATAGCAATAAAACTGATATACTCTAATTCAGTTATTTAAACATTCTATCTTACAAATATGCCATTTTTTAGTGGATGGTGAATTTATCTTTTTAATAAAAGAGGGTTAAAATGACTCTATGGACAAGCATGTTGTACACATTGCAAAAAGTTTGGGGATTACTAATAGAAAAAAGAAAAAAAGTTGTGCTCATTGTCTAGCATGTTAATTGGAAAAACTTTTGCAAAATAAAAAGGACATTTATTTCGCTTTCTAGTTTAGCCCCCCCTTAGTAGGTGGCTTTTGCCTTTCCCTAGATGAAAGTTTAGCTCTTTCATTTTGAAGTTTTCTCTCTTCCATCTTGGAAGTTCCGATTCTTGCACTTGAAAAAATTGAATTTTTATTTTTTATGTGTTTTAGTTATATCTCTTCAACAAATCTGGTGAAGAAGAGGGAGATCTATGGTTTCTAGAAAAGTAAATGATAAACGCATGGTTAATAGTCCAACAGATGAATGAAGGTGTCATATTCAGGACTTCTAGGCATACAAGATTTAAGTACAAGAGTCAGATATGCAGTTTTAGTCTCATTCGATCATAATTGGATTTTATTTGTTATAATTTGGTTAAGATTCTTTAAAATTCCTAGAGAGTGATAAGAATATAAACTTATGTTAATGTTAACAACATATATATAAGATGAATCTTATCAATATATTAACATAAGTATATGCAACTTGTACACAATGAATAAAATTATTCAATCAAAATTAGACTTGAGGTAATACAAATTGCACAAACAAACTCTTTCCATTAAATTACTTTCAATTCAATGGAACCTACCATGGAGTAATAAAATTATCCTAAACAAATGTTAACTTAAAAGTAAAAATGAAATGAAAAACGATAAACAATATGGCAAAAAGATATTAACTGAAAAATGTTAACTTAAAAATAACAATAAAATGAAAAATTGTACATTTTCTATCTCAAAATGATTGTCCAATTTAGATTTTCAGTTTTAGTACAATTTATAATAAAACTAAAATTTCAAACTAGATAAGTATTTTGGGAGAGAGGGAATAATGTACATCCAAGCAAATAATATATGTTTATGCCTTTTATAGGGGCCATTACCAAATGAAATAAAAATAGTAATAAAAATAAATAATAAATAAATGAAAAAAATACATTCTCTCCATGGTATTCGCGGGATCCTCAAGGCAAACACAAACGGTTTTTTGACTTTTTCTTCTTTTTCTTCGAATATCACTATTTTTCTGTCTTTCTCCCCACATGTCCATTTTTCCCCCAATTGCATGCAATGCAAGAAGAATAGCACCTTAAAGAAGAACAACAACAAAAGCTCAAAAAAAAAAAAAAACAAATAAATAAAATTTAGCCGATTGCTCCAGCTGATGATGGCAAGCTGAATATCTGATTCCCCCCAAGGTGTGTGTTTATATCTTTGCATGCCTCTCTGGTATCATTTATAACATAAATGGTTACGTAATTCTAATAATAGTAGGTAGATTATGAAAACTTGCTTTTGATGGGTTGTTCTTCTTTTTCTTTTCAGGGATTGTTATTTTGTCATTGATTTTTTTTTTGGGATAATTCATTTACTGATTTCCTGGTATAAAAAGTTTGGGAATGGGTCATGAATTATGCCGCATGTGCTCTGTAGATAGAAAATTTGAGTTCATATGTCATTTTGTTTGATTTTGTAGGAATATAACCAAAAAAAAAAAGAAATGTCTGGTTACGCTGGAGTTGTTGTCTCTGATCCATGGCTTCAGAGTCAATTCACTCAAGTGGAGCTGCGGGGACTTAAATCAAACTTTAAGGTCTTCTTGTTTCCTTCTAAGTTTTAATTAGTACCTCTCATCTCTTAATTTTTGGAAGAAAAAAAACAAAGGGATTCTGTTTTGGAGATTCATGTTGATATTTAGAGGGTTGATTATGTAGTTCTTGGCATCCAAGAACAAATCTGGCAAGGTCACATTGGGAGATATTCCACGGGAATGGGCCACAATGAAGCCCTTCAGTGGAGTGTTAGCAGAGGATGCCATTAGGACTATTCTTACGGAATCAAATTCTGAATTGAGTCAAGAAATTGAGTTCGAATCATTTCTTCGGGTAAGATAAATTTTCGTTGTACCTAAATTCTCTCTAAGTGGTGGTATCATTTTGTTTTTAGTGGTTTGTTTATGTTAGGTCTGTAAAACTTGAATACTTAGATTTGGAATTAAATATGGAACATTTGGTCACTTAAAAATGCATACTAAGTAAAACTTTGGACAAATCGAAATTTCTTATCTTAAGGACCGGAAGGAGTATATATTTTTCTTTCGCACATACTTCTCGTTCTTGCTGGATCTAAATTAATTTCACTGTAAAGTTTTGTGTCGGATTGATATCAAACTATTTGTAAGCTTTCAATCGGGTTTGATGTTTATGGTGATGTATAGGCTTATTTAAACTTACAAGCACGGGCTACAACGAAAATGGGTGGCTCAAAGAAAGTTCTGAAAACCAATGCATCATTTCTCAAAGCTGCAACAACAACCCTCCGTCACACCATTAGTGAATCGGAGAAGTATTCATATGTTTCACACATCAATAGCTTTCTTGGTGAAGATCGATTTTTGAAGGAATTTCTTCCAATTGATCCAGCTACAAATGCACTATTTGATCTTGTGAAGGGTGGGGTTCTACTATGGTATATATATATCACCCTAAAAGCTCCACTCGAATGTTGATCCTTTGGGATGTTTGCGTTGATTGTTTTGTTAGTCACTTTACTGTTATTTTTTGCAGTAAACTTATCAATGTGGCTGTCCCTGGAACTATCGACGAGCGAGCTATCAACACGAAGAAAGTTCTAAATCCATGGGAGAGAAATGAGAACCACACACTATGTCTTAATTCTGCCAAGGCTATTGGGTGTACTGTGGTGAACATTGGTACGCAAGACTTGGTCGAAGCAAGAGTAAGTATACTTAATAGGAGTTGATAGATGAAGTTATTATGACTAATTCTTGGAATTAATGTTAATCGTTTCCTTTTCCCGCTTTGGACAGCCTCATTTAGTTGTTGGTTTGATTTCTCAAATAATTAAGGTAAGTCACTGTTTCAGATCATCATTGTTGAATTACAACATGCATATATGTAGGATCTATTACAGAGTTCTAACACACCTGTAACATTGCGACGACACCAGATACAACTCTTAGCTGATCTCAATCTGCGGAAAACTCCTCAACTTGTCGAATTGGTGGAAGACAGTAAGGTTGCAGTTAGTTAATTTAATTCCTATTTTCTTGGTATATATTGCTGAATATATTTTGTCATCCCTCCTTTGTGTGATTCCTAATTGGGAAAATAAGAGCCCTTTAAACCTTGCAGGACGTGGAAGAGCTAATGGGTTTACCCCCGGAGAAGCTTTTACTCAAATGGATGAATTTTCATCTAAAGAAAGCAGGATACAAAAAAGCTGTTACAAACTTTTCATCGGATCTTAAGGTAGGAAAAGTAGATACATGCTATCTCTTGTGAACATGTAAACTTCCGGTCATATCTCTCTGATAGTTTCTTAATTACCTATATAAGTTTTCCAATCTTTGTTTTTTTTCTTGTTTGGTTCTGAACCTTGTGTTAAGTTGTGAAATAATTTAAGTTTGTTTTTGAGAACTGGCTAAATAACTAATAGCAAAGTTTAAGTCAGTTGTTTCCTGATGGATGAGTCCCTTTCAAATACTTTTATTTATTACTGACACGTTACTGCATCATATACTGTTAGGATGGAGAGGCTTATGCTCACTTACTTAATGCTCTAGCACCGGAACATGGAACTACTTCCACGTTGGAAGCAAAAGATCCCACAGAAAGAGCAAACTTGATTATTGAGCAAGCTGAGAAATTAAATTGCAAGAGATATGTTAGTTCAAAGGATATAGTTGAGGGCTCACCAAACCTGAATCTTGCATTTGTGGCTCAAATATTTCAAAACAGGTACAACTAGGCAGGCATTTGTATTTTATCATAGTGTTTTTAGATATAGGGTAACATGCTTCTCATACTTCTGTTTGTTGTTCTCTCTACATTATATAAATTGGTTTCGCCAGATTTCTCTTTCTATATAATGCTAATTGTCTGTTGGTGCAGGAATGGTTTATCAGTCGACAGCAAGAAACTTTCTTTCGCTGAAATGATGACCGATGATGCTCAAACTTCTCGAGAAGAAAGATGCTTCAGATTGTGGATTAACAGCCTTGGGATCGATACATATGTGAATAATGTTTTTGAGGACGTACGATCAGGGTGAGAAATAATGTTTCCTTATGGAAGTCCAGCAGCTGTCTGGATGTGTCTATACCTGATATATATATATGCTTCCTGATGGATGCAGATGGGTTATTTTAGAAGTCCTTGACAAAGTTTCCCCAGGATCAGTCATATGGAAGCAAGCAACAAAACCGCCAATCAAGATGCCTTTCAGAAAGGTTGAGAACTGCAATCAAGTCATAAGAATTGGGAAGGAATTAAACTTTTCACTTGTTAATATAGCTGGAGACGACATTGTGCAAGGAAACAAGAAGTTAATACTAGGTAAGTTCAAATTTATTTCTGAACTCCATTTCATCTTTGTCAGGTTCAATATATAATGTTTCAGATAGTTCATTTGATATGTTGAAGGGCTATAAATTTGTCTTTCACCTTAGTTCCTTAGAGATTGAACTGTTGTTTTCAGGAATTACTGAGCAGTCTAAACTTATTCACCCTGGAAAGTTTCACTTGTAAATATTACAGAAAGATTATCAATGTTTGGCTCAAAAAGTTAGGACTTCAAATTATTAAAGAACTCTTTTGAAGCAAAGTTCCCTCCCTTTTATTTGCTAGATTGTTATGTTGCTCTACCAATTCAAGTACACTGATAGTGTAGTATATTTATTGGAAGTCATGCAAAACAAATTATCTCCTTCCACCAACTAACCGATATCCAAACTTCAGCATTTCTCTGGCAGTTGATGAGATTTACCATGCTCCAACTGTTAAAAAACTTAAGGTCCTTCTCACAAGGTAAAGAGATCACAGATGCTGACATATTAAACTGGGCTAACAACAAAGTAAAACAAGCAGGTCGAAAATCTCGAATGGAGAGCTTCAAGGTAATCAAAACAGGTTTTGACATTGTTTTTTGTTTTTTTTTTTTTTTTGGTGCTGGATATCAAGTTTGTACTTTATGTGGCATTTTCAGGATAAAAGCCTTTCTAATGGGAAATTTTTCCTGGAACTTCTTAGTGCTGTGGAGCCAAGAGTTGTTAACTGGAGCCTTGTAACCAAAGGAGAAAAAGGTATACATTCTGAAAAACTTTGTGGAGTTTGAGGTTCTTAACCATTTTAATCTTCTACTTTCTTGACACCTATGAATGAAAAAGAAAAAGAAAAAAGTTTCATCTCAACTAGAAGTAAGTATACCCCTTGTGGGTTGATGTTGTTTACTGTTTTTGCAAAGTGCAGATGAGGATAAGAAACTAAATGCAACTTATATCATAAGCGTTGCGCGAAAGCTTGGTTGTTCCATATTTTTGTTGCCCGAGGACATTATGGAGGTAAGCTTCAGGATGACATCTTCTGCATACTTAGAAGGCTTAGACACTTAAAAGCAACACAGTGGTGGTCTTGGCTTTAATTCCTTCACCATCATTAATTTTTAGAATGCATTTAAGATGGTTCATATTTTACTTCCTGTTCTTGACTGGATTAAGGTGAAAATGATGTAGATATTCCACTACAATTTTTCCTTGGAGACTGAATCACAAAAGTAACAAATGTCACAGGTGAACCAGAAAATGATTTTAACATTGACAGCAAGTATCATGTACTGGAGCTTGCAGAAGAAGACTAGTGACCCTGAGACCAACTCAGGCACACCAGAAGCGGAGAAAAGCACCCCAAATGAGGAGAAAAGCACTCTGAATGAGGAAAATAGCGCCGTGAATGAGGAGAACAACACTCCGAATGAGGAAAATAGCGCCCCGGATGAGGAAAAGAACACTCCCGACCCATCTGAAGTCGATCCTGCAGAGGCTGAAGGCGAACCTGCCGCATCAAGCCCTTCAAGTTCAACCCAACAAACTACAGATGTTGAAAATGAGGATCCTCCAATAGAGGAAAATACAAATACTGATAAGGAGTAAAACAAAATAACATGTTGTGAAAAAAAAAAAAAAAAAAAATCCTTTGTTTCGGCTTCAGTTTTGCATTCATGAGAACTTGTAGATAAGATGGTGATCACCAGGTGTTGTTATTAATATGTATACTCTGGCCATTTATTTTTAATGATATAGGAGATTATCTTTTTTCCCACCAAAATTTCTGGTGTGCAGAATGGAAACAAAGTGATCTTGTAAATTTATGCATGTATTCATGTGTGTGTAATTAGACTTCCCGATAGTAGTAGTAAGTATCGTACGACCCGTATCGCACGATACGTATCGAAATCAAATATGTATTGCAATTGTTTGTGTATTGATCAATTACCGATATGTATTGTACGTTATTGTGTATTGTATGATACACGAACATAGGCAAAAAATAATTTTTTAAAAAAAAATAATTCAAATTGTTGTTTCATAATAATCATTTAAGTTTCAAATTAAGAGCGAATTTTATTTACAATTTATTTTAAATAGATGCTTTTGATTTATTTTATTCACAAACATAATCTTCCTAAAGTGACGATAAATTCATTAATAAATTACGCTAGTTCAAAAAAATAAAATAATTAAAGACATTATTTTATTCATAATATCATTTTCTAAATCAAGTAAAGCATATTGAATAAATGTGATACGTGTTTCTATTAATTTTCTTACAATTTAATTTATGGCTATAATAACAGCCATTGTGAAAAATAATATTTATTACATAGGTTTTACGAAGAAATTGAATGATAGCCTAGTGGTTAGGTTGTTATCTTCATGGTAATAGACCAGGGTTCGATTCTCACTAGGGGTTGTAAAGGGGGTTTAAGAAAAAAAAACATAGGTTTTACGACCATTATCCGTGTAATGAATGAGTAATTTGTGTAACTTTCAATAATGTTAAATTTAACTTAATCAATTTATTGTTTGCACATCACTGAAAATTTTTTAAATAATATATAAATATATCAATTACATTACAGTTTATGATATTTATTATTTATTTTATACATATTACTATATTAAAACGTATCTTACGATACGATATACGATACGATATGCGTATTATAATTTTAGGTTTCCGATACACGATACGTATCATTAAGAAATTGGTTATAAGAGGGGTTAATTAAGAAAAGTTGATTTAAGAAAATGGTTTTTCCCTTCCTCTGTCCCAAATCGTCCTTATTGTTTTTTGAAATTTATACTAGTTTTAATACAAATTTCAAACCTTATTGTGCACTTTTTTTTTTAGAACTTAATTTTATATTTTTTTTTAGGTGACATTTGAAATATTGCTCCATTCTAGTATAAATCTCAGACTAAAAACCTTCCTCGTCTTAACGGGCCTAATCTTCCCACCTAACCTTTCTAAATTAATCAAAATCATAACACTACTAGCTAAGTGGTGACGTTATGAGAACTCATTTTGCTCTCATTTCCACCGTTCTCCTGTATCCTTTTATATAAATTGTATTTTAGTTAAAAAAAAATTTCCCTATCTAACCTTTTACACAATGATATTTAATCTATAAAAATTCATATTATATTTCCTGAATCCTTTTTCTATTGTTCTCATAATGCTTCCAAACAGCACGTTTCATAAAAAAAAAATTCGACATATAGTAGTTAATTTCTAAACAAACAAAAGTGTAACCTATCATTTTTAAGCAGTTGGCATACCCTTTTAAAATTATAATAATATAGCATAACCATTCGTTGATACACCAGGTGTTAATTGAATGATAATAATAAATTTTCTAGAATACTTAGTGTATATTACAATTTACACAAAATGAAAAATTCTAGAATACCAACAAACATTTCTTACACAATTTTGCGAATATTACTCTTCCCCTTTAGACTAGTAAGGAATTCTTGCGAGATTTCAGATTTCAGAATTAATCACCACAAGAAGCAAAGAAAAAGTTTCCAACGCATATCAAAACTTTTGTTTTCAGCCAACATTAATTCAAAGGTGCAAAATTAAACTTTGTATCCTATTAATGCAACAACTTGTTCCAGAATATTTTCTTGTATACATTTATATACCCCCTATAGCCTCTCCGGTTTGGTATCGTTAATATTCATTCACTCATTCATTTGTGTTGTTTGAAATCAAAATCTTCAGAAAAAGAAATGGCATCTTCAAAGAAATTTGTTGTGGGTTTCGTGATGGTGCTTTTGGTGGTTTCACTTTTGCATCAAACAGAAGTTGATGCCCAACACAATAATGGGCATTTTAATGGACTGGATCATCAAACTCTGACGTCAATTAAGGCGGCTCAAACGAACCAGTTTGTGGATCAGAATCACGATGATGATAGCAATGATCAAGGAGATGATGATTTCAACCCAGAAGTGTTCGTTTTGGGACATTAATCTTATATAAGATTATTACATGCAAATTGCTGTGGTTGTAATTCTGGTGTGGTTTCAAATATTCTTGCATATGTTCTTACAAAAAATGAAATTGCTCAGCCAAGAAATTGACGTATTAAGAATACAAACGAATAATATTGGTTATTTTATATGATATTTCTCTTTCAAAGTGTGTTGTTGAATTAATGCTTTTTTTCATTTAAGACATATATATACTTTTTTTTTATTATTATTATTTGTATATAATTTTATCACCTTATGTTTGTTATAAGAACTAATCCTTCCAGTTTCGTGAACAACATCTCGTATTCAATGTATGTGCCTCAACTACACCATCCCAGGTTTTATATAGACAACAAAAAAAAACTATATTAGATTTCATAATAAGAATGTATATGTGGGACTCAAATTTAGAGGGTCTTTTTCTTTTCAAAATTGGAGATCAGGAAAGAATTTCAATTACCATGAGCAAAAAGTAAATAATAAATAGAATTAATTACTCAAACAGTACTAAAAAAATGTCATCTATATTCACTCAGAACTAAAAAAAAACGTTGCACTTTGGTACTAAATAGTGAACTTTTATTTTTTTTTCGGTTCTCCATTTGTTTTCCGAGGAAAAGGGTGGTGGTCAGCGGCGGTGGACGGTTGAGTTGACTAAGGGTATAATCGAAAATCAAAAAAATAAACCACACTTCCTACGCACGTGCGAGTCACGTGGTTGCCGCTAAAAAACAGAAGGGGGAAATTCAAAATTAAAAAAAAGTTGAATTTGCCGCCTTGAGCAGCCGCCTTGGTAGGCGTAAACCGACGGTATCCGTGGGGGGCGCCACCATGTACCACCACCGAACCACCGATCTACCACCGGGCCGCCGCCGCCAGTTTTTATATTTCGGTCATTTTCAGATATATTCGTTGGGAATTTCGCCGCCCGATAGTCGGAACTTACTGTTTCGACTACGGAGACGGCCCAATCCCGGTGACGACCAATTCTTGGCATATTATATTATTATAAAATAAAAGTAATGGGCGGAGTATAATACAACGAGCCAAATTTTTTATTTAGCTCAAACCCAATTAAAATTAATATAAAAAATTATCAAAGCCCAACCCAATCTCAATGCAGTATATACATTTTCAAACATAATAAAAATCAAAAAGTCACTTCGGGGAGAGAGAAAACATAACTGGGAGAAAACGGGGAGAGAGAAAACGTGAGTTATATAAATTGGGGATTAGGGTTTGTCAAATTCGAAAGAACAAGGGGGTATTACTGGCTAAACTCGTTATTTTTGTTGAAATCTTTACCAAATGGGGTAGTATTGAAGGGATTTGGTGAATTTGTTTTGGAGATTTACATCCATTAGGGTTTCGGGTTTGTTTCAGATCTGAGAGGCAGTCTGAATTGTTACCGGAAAATACAAGCGGTCTCATCGGTTTTAACATCGAAGGTGTAAGGACATCGTTCGAGGTTATTTCATCGACCAAGATGTGGAGGGGCGAGGATCATGTTCGATCCCCAGATGAAGTTTCAGAAGTACCAGATTACGGTAAGCCCTAGAAATTGTTACATTTTGATTTTGCATTGATTTATTTATAGTTTAAGTTTGTAAAATGGATTTTCTAAAAACCTTTATTGAGATGGGCTTCTTTTTTTTAATGGTGGAGTAGGCTAGGGTTCGGATTCATTCTCGATTCATGCGTTATTTCCTTGTCTGTTTGTGTACTTTGTGTTCTTCACTTGTCTGTTTGTATACTTAGTGTTCTTCACTTTCTTACAACGTTCATGACTAACTTGTAGTGCTGGGAGGGGACATTTTTGCTTGAAATTAGTTAACTATTGTTAATTTGTTGATAATTCTAAAACAGTTTGTTAGTTTTTAATTGGTTTCTTTCATAGAGTGACACACTTTTTGATATCTTTTTCAGGTGAATGGTCTAACCTTGTAAGTGTCAAATTTTTCATAGTGGGGGGAGGGGTGGTTTGTGACCAACAGGAAAGGTGAACTGACATATTTAAAGGTAGAGGTTGATTACTTTGATGAAGTGATCACTGACCAGCTTTGTTTGGAAGAGTGTTATTCATTTCTGGAACGTGTAGGGTTTTGTAGTCCTCATAAGCTATTTTTTAGAGACCCTATTGTAGCTGAATATTCTGGTTTTAGGAGATTAAACACTAATGAAAATCTGAAATATATGCTTGGTTTACTGTCTGGTGAAATGAAGTCTCATGTGGTCATCTATAGGATAGGGAAACTTGAGTATGATCCATTACCTGGAGGGGCTAAACCTAAACCAAGAAAGCCTGCATATTTAGATGAAGGTGATGATGATACTGATGATAAAGACTATGAACCTGAAAGTGATTACAGTTGTGATTCTGATGATGAAAGGGTTCAGAAGTTAGCCAATCACTCGATGAGTGGTTCTTGTTGGGGAACTTTAGAGAAAACTGAATTTGTGCGCCATGCAAACCATGATGGTGGCGATGATGTGGCCTCTGAATCTGACTATGCTTCCTGTAAAGAACTTCATGAAAAGTGTTGTTTGGATGATGAGGACTTTCATGAAGAAGTGAAGAAATATAGAGAGTTTAATCCTGCGAAAGAAATGGCCAACCCAACATTTGATATTAACCAAAGATTTGGGACTAAGTGGATACTTTTGAAGGCCATCAGAATGCATGCTCTTGTTGATAGAAGGGCTATTAGGTTTCAGAAAAATGCTAAATTGGAGGCGAGAGGAATTTGTGTACCTGGCTGCAACTGGGAAGTATATGGAGTGAAGTTGCTAGATGTAGACACATTTGAGGCGAGGACTGTGGATAACAAGTACACTTGTGGTAGGATATGGGAGAAAATCAAGAATTGCAACTCCAACATGGTTTCTGATTAGTTTGTTGCTGACTTTGCAAATGACCCTTCAATGACTGTGAGCACTTTGCAATTTAGGGTTCATAATGAGAAGATAATTACCATATCTAGGACTCAAGCATATAGTGCCAAGCCAAAGGCATTGGAGAAGGTAAGAGGAAAAATTGTAGAGCAGTATGCCCAGTTGGAAGGTTACATTAAAGCAACGAAGAAGGCTAATCCTGGGACGACGTTTGAATTGATGATTGATCCTGCGAAACCTAATACATTTAAGAGGTTGTATTTGTGCTGTGAGGAATGCAAGAGATGTTTCAAAGAAGGGTGTAGGAACATTATTGGTCTTGATGGAACATTTCTGAAAACAGTTGTGGGGGGCATTTTACTCTCAGTTATTGGATTCGATGCAAACAACAACATTTTTCCAGTTGCTTATGCGATTGTAGAGATTGAATGGTTCTTGAACTACTTAATTAAAGATCTACAAATTGCCAACACTCCTGAATGGGTAATCATGTCTGACAGGCAGAAGGTAAATTTTTCCTTTTTTCCCCTTATTTACAATTTTAAATTTTGGTTTTTAATCTTTTAATATGTATACAAATTTCAACTTTGAAATCCTGATTGCATTGTTATTATATTATTCAGGGTTTGATACCAGATGTGCAATCAAAACTAGATAGGGTTTCACATAGATTTTGTGTGCATCACTTGTGGTCGAATTTCAAGAGGCATCATCCGGGGCTTGTCTTGAAACCGAAATTTTTTGAAATTGCAAAATCAAGTTATGTAGAAGAGCATGATGAGCTTATGGCTGCTTTGAAAGAGTTTGATGAAGGTGCATGGGCATGGCTACAAAATGAGGATGTTGTTCATTGGTGCAGGTCGCATTTCCCTACGGCAACTAGGTATGACTGCGTTACTCACAATGTGAGTGAGGGTTTCAATAGAGCAATATTGCCTAGCAGGGAATATCCCATCATTGGAATGCTTGAGCGGCTTCGGGTATACCTAACTTCAAGGGCACAACAGAAAAGGGAGTGGCTGGCACGAAATAATTATATTCTAGGTCCAAAGATAAAGAAAAGGTTTCAGGATGATGCTGAAGAAGTTGCTAGATGTAAAGTGATCCATTGTGGTGGTCCGCCGTTTGAAGTGAGGACTATTGATAGCTGTGATCAGTTTGTGGTAAACCTTAAGGAGAAGACATGTGCTTGTAGGAAATGGCAGTTGAATGGATTGCCATGCTCTCATGGCATAACTGCCATAGTAGAGAATGGAGATAAGGTTGAAAGCTATGTGAATAAGTATTACTCAAGGGAGATGTACGAGAATGCATATGCATATGTCATTGTCTCTGTAAATGGTCCAAAATTTTGGCCAAAATCTGATGGTGCTACTTTGCAGCCCCCTGAATTTAAAATCAAAATTGGCAGGCCAAAAGGGAGTAGAAATAAGGACAAGGATGAGCCATTAAGAAGAAACAAGAAAGGATCGTTGAAGGCAAGTAGAAAGAGGGGTAAAGGGGTAAACAAATGTAGTTTCTGTAGAGGTGAACATATTAAGAGAAATTGCCCAGGGTTTAAGGCACACCAAAATGGAAAAGATAATAAAATATGAAGTTTCACTCTGGTCGGTATTTTGTTACATGTGAGTTTCTTGAATTTTTTTACACTACTGATATTGGTACCATTTCAATGAACCAGGGAGAAAGGGGAGTGCAAAACACCAATCCACCTGTAAGAAAAAGGATGGGCAGACCACCAAGAAGAAGCCTCAGGATACAGGTGAATGCACAAGTAACCGAGTACAGTCTGCAACTCAGTCACAGCCCAAGAAGAGGGGCAGAAAACCAAAAACATCTGGTGGTGAAGTGCATGTTAACTAAAGTTTATTGTAATGTGACTATTGCAAATTACTGAACCACACTGTTGCGGACTGTCCAATACTTGAGGCTGAAAAATTCTTGACAGTCCCTAAAAATTTAAGTGAGGTAAAGTTTAGATTACTGTTTACTCCAAATGTTCTTTTTTTTTTTTTTTGGTCAAAGTATAAATATCTATTATTCGATGCAAACCCTTGCTGGTTTTTAATACCCTTGGTGCACCTCCTACAACTCAACCTAGTGGATATTCATCCTCTAAAGATGGTTACATGCATGAAGGATGCGACTTCTGCAGAAGCAATTGTTGGAATTTTACTTCAAGAATAGTGGACAACAATGGCTGCACTAGATCAAAGAACAAGATGAAGAATTTATGGTTAGGACAAAAGAAAGTTTTGTCTCTAAGTCACAAGTAAACTTGCTTTCCTTTTGGGCTAAATTCGCCCACTATACAGTGCAATTGTCTAGGCGAATTCCCTATGAGATAAAATGGAGATCGTGTTGTTTCACTATGCACTTTAGTGAACCAACAACCTGCTACAAGGATAAGAAATGTCATTGAAAATATTCCAAGTATTTGGTGATTTCATTGTACACTGAAAGCATCCAAATGATCCATATTTATAGAGTTAGATGAAACTCTTGAGGATTAGACGTAACCCTTGGTTATGGTCCTAAACATAACTTTTCGTTAATGTCTTTTCATATGGAGTCCATAGGCACAACCTATTAGTTGTGTCTCTACCATATATGGAAAACACCCAATAGGCACAACATATTAACTGTATCCCTACAATATATTGAAAATAACTCCAACAGCAATGACCATGGAGAAGACAATTGTCCTAGGCTTGATATCCAATGTGATTATTGCAACTATTTTGAACATTATAGAAATGAATGCTATGAATTAGAGGTAAGTTAGGTAGTATATATAACCAGTTTATGCAGGAATGATTGTTCAAATTTTATAGTTTGCATGTCTTTACAATACCCTTCTTTACGTATTAGAGGAATCTGGATGCTGGTGTTGATGTGAATGCCTATGCTACAAATGCTGTTGTTGAGGAACAAGCACCTCCAACTGAGAATCCTCCTGAAACTGGAGTTCCTGTTCATCAGCCAGAATCACAACAACTACAAATGAGAATCCTCTTGAAACTGGAGCTCCTGTTCATCAGCCAGAATCACAACCACCTGCAACTGAGAATCTTCCGGAAACTGGAGTTCCTGTTCATCAGCCAGAATCACAACCACATGTAAATTCTACTGTAGATGAGGATTCTGTACATGAGACTGAACCAAAACATACTTGAAATGCTGGTCAAGAAGTTGACGATGAGGTTATTTCTGTTTTGGCTCCAAATAGAATGTATTTAATAATTAGGTTCTGTAAGTTACATTTTGGTTCCTATTTGTGTTTGAAAGTAACAAGGAATATTGTATTATGTTTTTTGTAGGTGGCTTTGGATATACACTCCGAAGAAGAGATAGAGTGTATAGAGTGGGAAAGTCTTGCTGCAGCATTGAAAGATCCAAGGTCAGGAATTATAAGGCCCAAAGTAAGTGCACCTGCCCCCAAAAACGCACAAGAATTTGTACTTCTTTAGCCCCTACAACCCCAAGGAGAGCTAGTGCAAGGCTTATGAATCTAGCACTTGCGAAAAAGATGGACGTTGATGGACCTGGGAGTACATCTGAAAATGCCATTCAAATGTTAACTGAAGAAGAAGCAAGCACCTTCTTGCATAAGAAGCCAAAGACATTCCATGGTGTAGATCCTCACCAAGAATGATTAGTTTTTATTATGTAACTTTGGTTCAGTTTCGATATAGTTGTATGCCGAAATTATTCTTAAATTTATATTTTGGACTCCTTCAGATAGGCATAGTCTGATGATGTAGTATGCTATTGATGGTTTTTGTATTTCTGAAGGCACTATGATATTTTGTTACAAACTTAAGATAAATTTATGCAAATGGTTCGGTAATCATCTATTTTTTTCTGGAACTGAGATTATGTCTTTAGTCTGTGAAAGGAAAAAACTGAACTGAGGCTATTCCAGCTTACAATGTCCAGCTTTACCTAAACATGTCACGTCTAATTTACTGTTGTAGGAATTTTTGCTTGATAAGTAATAACCAAACATTTTAATCAATAACCCGACATTTCATTGATAACTTGATAATCGTAACAAAATAAGATTGACAAGTTTAGTTTACAAAATAAACCCTAATTGTACATTGATCAC